CTTTTGAGTTCTTATACTAGGGAGACAATACGATATTTACACATGTGAGTAATTTATTATTTTCTAGTTTGAAAGCTAACAAAAAAGTGTAGGTTCATGACATTCAGGGAAGTTTAGGTCTTTATACAGTGTGGGATCTAGTCATTCATTCTAAAATAACAACTATAGGTTTTTTTTTTTTTTTTTTTTTTTTTTGCTCTTCCTTTTTTGCAGAACCGGGGATTGAACTCAGGCCCCTGTGCTTGCCAGAGAAGCACTTATTCCACTGAGCCATCTCCCCGGCCCCACAACTATAGTTTGTATGGCTGCTTTTTGCCAGATCCTATCATAGGTACCCGAATAATATGGTTTATATTTACTGAGCTCTCACTGTGTCAGTACTGTTTTTCCTTATTAATTTAGTCTTCTCAGTAAGCCTATGAGGAACATCTTTTTACATGTAAGATAATCTAGGATATCTTGAAGTTGAATAATTTAAGGTCACAGTTTTAAGTGAAATACAATCAGGCACCAGAGTTGTGCTCTAAACTGTTACCTCAAATACTGTCTGTTCTAATTTTCATAGCTGCCTATGAAGTATAAAAGTAAGGAAGTAGGCTGAGAAAGATTAACTTGACATAATCACTTTTTTTTTTTTTGTCTCACTCCAAATCTCCTAGTTCTATTTTACATTCCCTCTGTTCTACCCTAACTCATTATAGAATCACCAAGAACTATACCATGAATGTCTTACATTCATGAAAATAGGACAAAAGTGCTTTCTACAGCTTCATGTTATAATCTTTATTACTGTTTCTTGTTTTCTCTCTCAAGGTCATTTCTGAACAGTAGAGAGTTGTGAGTACTTCGTTAAATAGTCAGTTCCAGATCCTGTTATCAGATCCTCTGTTGCTGTTTCAAGTGGTAAGTTTTCTTATGGACATATTCAAACTTAGCTAGATTCTATCTTGAATATCTTTATTAGTAGGAATAAATTCAACTTTTGTGTACATGTTCTTGATTATTATTTGGTATTTTGCTGCTACTTATACCGAGAAAAATCAGAGATATTTTATCTGGCAAGACTTGAGACTATTTAGTAAAACAAATAAGAATCTCTATATTAGCTCAGAGTCTACTTTTTTTTTTTTTTTAGTGGAACGGGGGATTGAACTCAGGTCCTTGCGCTTGCCAGGCAAGTGCTTTTTCTACTGAGCCATCTCCCTCTCCCCAGTCCCTCAGAGTCTACTGTTGTTATTTTATCCTTAGTTTACAGATTTAAGTGCTGAGTGACCAAACATAGGAGTTTAGGTTAGAATACAATTAAATTAGTGTTACTTATAGATGTAAAAACAGCTTCAGTGAATCTTGTACCCTGGCTAAATTTTGAATGTTTAGAATCTGATTAATATGATTACTTTTTATTGAGTGTCTTTCATAAATCAGTTATGCCTGATAAATATTGTCTATGTAATTCTTTCAACTCTGATAGTGGTATTACATTTTACGTATTAGGTCATATAGTTTGTAATTGACAGAGCCAGCTTTCAAACTTTGGTGTATCTGTCTAAAACATTATGCTTTCACATTATACCATCTGGTTATTTCTGAGTTTGATTTTTGGCCAAGTAGTAAGTCAGATTTTTAAGGTACTGGAGAGAAAAATTTAAAGGATGTGGTTGTATCTATTTTTTCATTTTAAAGAATTATAGAAGCGGGGGCCGGGGAGATGGCTCAGTAGAATAAGTACTTGTTCTGCCAAAAAAGAAAAAAGAATTATAGAAGCTATATGTTTTCTTAAAAATCTGTATTTAAATGTGCTGAATTATCCTAATTTTTTGTTTTTTGTTTCTAGGTAACAGACAAACAGTATTTATTTTATTTTAAAAGATGAGTGTAACTAGCACTGCATTAAGAGTTGAAACCTGGCTTTCAGCTACATGGCATGTTAAAGTACCTTTAGTGTGGTTGGAAGCATGTATTAACTGGATCCTAGAGGAAAATAATGGTGTTAGTTTGAGTCAGGCACAAATGAATAAACAAGTATTTGAGCAGTGGTTACTCACAGATCTGAGAGACTTGGAACATCCTCTTTTACCTGATGACATTTTAGAAATTCCAAAAGGAGAACTGAGTGGATTTTATGCTGTACAGATTAATTCCCTGGTTGATGTAAGTCAACCTGCATATTCTCAGATACAACAGTTGAGAGGAAAGAATACAACCAATGATCTAGTTACAGCTGAAACACAGGTTACCCCCAAGCCTTGGGAAGTGAAGCCTTCACGAATGTTAATGCTACAGCTAACTGATGGAGTTGTACACATTCAAGGAATGGAATATCAGTCTATTCCAGTACTTCGTAGTGATCTTCCTCCAGGCACAAAAATTTTGATTTATGGAAACATTTCATTTCGTCTTGGTGTTCTCTTATTAAAACCAGAAAATGTGAAAGTGTTAGGTGGTGAAGTAGATGCTCTTTTAGAAGAATATACACAAGAAAAAGTACTTGCAAGATTAATTGGGGCATCTGATCAAATAGTTTCAGTCATACCAAATAATTCTAACCAAAACATCCCCAGAGTTGTAGATGTTATAGATCCTGTATTAGGACCTTCTGATGAAGAACTGTTGGCAAGTCTCGATGAAAATGATGAGCTGGCAGCAAATAATGACACCTTGGATAAATGTGTCAACACAGGTAGTTCCTTGAACACTGTTCCTATGAGACAGTCAAGTTTTGAAACAGCACTCAGTTCTCAAAGACCAAAGGAGAGACCACTGAACCCATTTATGCATTGCACCCATGGGGAATTGGGTGACTTCTCATTGGAGGAAGCCTTGCTTTTAGAAGAAACTGTCCAAAAGGAACAGATGAAAACTAAAGAATTGCAGCCATTGACTTCGAACAGAAATACAGATCAAAGTATGGAGAGATTTGCACATAAGCCTAATATGCTGAATGATTTTTCTTTGATTTGCAAATCAGGAAGTAATTGGAATGAAAAATCTTTATTTGAACAGATGACTCATGAAGATAGGTCTTTTCACTGTTCATCTGCTACAGACAAAAAAAGTGGTGTTTTTTCAGGACCATGTAATGTATCATTAATGCATAATTTTACAGATAAAGATAATTCAGAGACAGATAAACTAAGACAAACTATCAACAGTTTGGATGGACATTATTTAAATGATAAAATATTAAATAAAATTGAAAGTTCACAAGTTTCTAATGAACGTGGTCATCACTTACAGGATTGTTCTGTAAGATCAGAGAGTAGCACTGATCTTTCTGTTGGTACAGATTTGTATTCTCCACCCTTCACCTATCTGTCTGTTCTCATGGCCAGCAAACCAAAGGAAGTTACTACAGTGAAAGTTAAAGCATTTATTGTAACTTTAACTGGAAATCTCTCAAGTTCTGGTGGCATTTGGAGTATAACTGCTAAGATTTCTGATGGCTCTGAATATCTAGATGTGGACTTTGTAGATGAAATACTGACCAGTTTAATAGGGTTTTCAGTACTAGAAATGAAACAGTTAAAAAAAGATCCTTCTAAATATAAAAAGTTTCTGGAAGGTTTACAAAAATGTCAGAGAGATCTAATAGATTTGTGCTGTTTGATGACTATTTCATTTAATCCTTCCTTGTGTAAAGCAATGGTACTTGCATTACAAGATGTTAATGTGGAACACCTTGAGAACCTAAAGAAGCGGATGAATAAATAACTTATTAAATATTATTACAGAACAATTGTTATTTTTTATGTATTTAGTACAGAGTCTACAAGGTCTCACTGCACAGATTGGACTTGTGATCCTTCCGGTTTTTCAGCTTCCCAAGCACTGGGATTATAGACATGTGCTACCACATCCAGTGTGTCTCAGCGCACCCTGGAGGCAGGGCTAGGGCTGGGGCCAGGGCCAGCATGGTAGGCCTGGGAGTGAACCCCCAGCCTCTACAGCCCTATGTCTGCCTAAGCAGGTACTTTAATTTGCTGAGCTATCTGGCCAGCCACCTGGAACAATTTAAAACATGGAAGAATTTAAATTTGTTCACGAATTTTGAAACATTTGGGGGGGGGGACGACTCAGATTTCAAAAAATTTGTTCTTCAAACTGTGTGGCTTTTCTTAGTTTTTGAAACTCTATAGGGTAGTATGCCTGAGTCACATGACTTTGTGAGTGACCCGAATAATTTCCTACTACAAATTACACAAACATTACATATTCTAGAAGTGTTCTGAAATTGAGGCATGATCATACACAACCATATGGAAACATTCTGCTAGAAAATGGAAACAGCAAAATGTAAGTTTGTTTTAACAAAATTATTGCTAAGAAAAGGATGCAGGGGGCCAGGGAGATGGCTCAGTAGAATAAGTGCTTCCCTGGCAAGCACAAGGGCCTGAGTTCAATCCCCAGTTCCGCAAAAAAAAAAAAAAAAAAAAGATGCAGTTCACAAATGCCACTAGGCCCTAAATCACTGCATTGGTTGTTTTCATGTTCAGATAGTTGAACATCAGTTTAAGCTAGTTTCTTGGCTGAAATTTTATTTATTTATTTTTTTGCAGAAACCTGAAGTTTAATTTTTATAAAACAAGTTCTGTAGCCCATTACTTTTTTCTTATGACTCAACACCCATTTTTTTGTATTATGGTATTAACATTTTACATTAATAGGATATGTCTGTTGAAACAATACCTACATTCAACAAAATCCATCATTTAGATTACTTAGGTTTTTCCTCTTCTTTTCTGTACCTGGATCCTGTGCAGGAAGGGTCACAGCCTATCATCCTGTCTCCAGCCTTTTGTTGGTGATAATAGCTCCTTAGTTTTGTTGTTTTTGACCCCAGTAGGTCAGACCCTGTTGCTAGTATCTGCTTTGTCTGATGATAAGTAGGGGCCGCTCTGACATGCTGCTACCTTGGCTGCAGCATAGCATTCTTTCATGCTCTGCAACCTGGGCCACCAGCAATAGTAGTGTGAGTGATTCCATGTGAGACCAACGTGTCTGTGGTCATGCCCATTTCTTATGGCCTACTATAATTCTTGGTCATCAAGAGGGGATTCGTATCTGCTAGATAACTATTGGAGTAGAAGTTGGGATACTTCCAGCTTTTGTAGCACCTCTATTTTTAAGTACATGGTTACATTTTCTGCCATGTGAAGGCTTTCTTGTAATTCTGAGTTTTGCAGCTTCAGGTGCTCGTTTTTGTTCTTGGACAACTACAATCTGAGGGCATCAGGTTTTTCAGTTGATTCCTTGTGCTTGCCCACCTCCTGCTATTCCATCCAAGAGAGCAGACAAAGTCCACACCAGTGCTGTCCCACACTGTTGGAAAGATATCACGTGAATGGCAAATTCCTCAGACCCTTCTGCTTTTAACAGGCTGCTTGGTGACCGTTAGCCACGGCCATCTGTATTTCTTCTGAGATATATCTAGTTTGAATATGAAATTGCAGCTTTTCTTGTAGAGATACCCGCTCCTTTGTCAATTTCTTTTGACATAACTGCCTTTTTCAGCTGTTCCAGAGCATTTTGGTTTTGCTATTTCTTTCTACCAAGTTGTTTGATACACAGCTGGACTCCGAGGCTCCTCTTAGCTCTTGGTACCGGCTCTCTTGGTCCTTCATCTTTGCAGGTTATGGGGCCCTCCCTTTTGATAGGATGTAGGTTCAGACACAAGACTGATGAGAAAGTTGTTGCAGGCTCAGCATCATGGTTCTGAAGTGATGCTAGTGAGCAGTGCCCAGGGAAAGGGACACTGCAAAGTGACCCTGTATCATTAAGGGTGGTATGGAGGAAGTAACTTGGTCTTTGTGTGTGTTCTGAGGTGCGTGACAGTCACCAGCAGTGGATATCTTAGGGTTGTTACAGTTTTGATCTTTTTCTTCTCTCCTACAGGTCCACCAAGACTGGTTTTTAAAAATTCTTTCCACTTTTTCTTAGCCACTGTCTTAGTTACTCCTCTCTCGCTGCTGGGACAAATACCCGACACTCAAAATGAAGGAAGAAAAGGTTTATTTAGCTCACAGTTACTGGAGGTTTCAGTCCATACTCATCTGGGTCCAAGGCAGAGCAGCACACAGCAGAAAGCAACCTTTCATGGCGGCAGCAAAGAGCAAGAGCACAAGGGAGAAGTAGCAGCAGCTCAAGCAGCTGGCTTCTCTTCCCACCTTACATTGTAATGCAAATTG